TCGGAGGAGGGGGCTTCTTCTGAAGCCATGTTCGGGAACTCGTAAGAAACAGGGCTGCTCTTGGTTGCAGACCCTAAACCCCTGTGTTTAGGGTTTAGGGTTTAGGGGTTTAGGGTTTAGGGTGCCTGAATAATTACCTATACTATCTTAGGTGTTCCTTGTTACAGTTGTAGTATAACATACTCCAAAACCCTGTTCAAATTTCTCAGGCCCCCTATATTAATCCTCCACCGGCCGATCGCAAGGGTGAGTGCCCAGAACCGTCTCGCGGATCACCGGATAGTATGCGGCGGCCACATCCAAGAACAGCAGCCCTACCGACAGATGACGAACCTGGCCATAATACAGCCAGCCCTGTGATACCTAACTAAACCCTAAACCCTAAACCCTCACCAAGTTCAAACCCTAGACCCTAAACCGTCCTTTACCCTAAACCTTAAACCCTAAACCCTAGTTAACCTCAAACCCCAAATAATCACGAAAAGCTCGATGAAGGGCCTTCGAGTCGGGCGACTGCACAAGGATTCCTCCCCGCGATCAAAGTATCACCGGCACAGTATTGCTATTCTTATTCTTACTAGTCTCTCTACTCTCATGATTCTTATTGCTCTTCTTGTCATTGCTACTATTACTATTATTGTGATGACTATGACTATAGCACTGTCAGTAGGATAGAAAGGGCTCTCCCGTTCAGATTTAGCCCTAAACCCTAAACCCTAAACCCTAAACCCTAAACCCTAAACCCTAAACCCTAAACCCTAAACCCTAAACCCTAAACCAGCTCGGCTGCGAAGCTGGCCGAGGCCACAGTGAGGCCCACCAAGATCACCTGCTTTTGCCGGGCGATGGCTAAGGGTGTAGGGTTTAGGGTTTAGGGTTTAGGGTTTAGGGTTTAGGGTTTAGGGTTTAGGGTCTAGCGTAGTCAAGAAGTTTTAGGGTTTAGGGCTTCAAGAGTATGGGAGTTAAGGATTTAGGGGCTCATTGGGTTGTCTTTGCTTGTTGCAGTGTTGGGGCAATGTGATCTTTTCAGGATACCTAACAGGTACCAGGGCTTTATGTCTGGCTTCATGTTTCCCTTCATGAGACCGTGAAATATCGCCTGAGCATCGCTTTTACGGCTTGAACGTTTTGGGATTTTTTCGGGACTTTGGGGCTTTGGGGCTTGGGCGCTTTACATCTTTGTGGGTTTAGGCTTTAGGTTTGTGGACCTAGGGCCTCAGGGTTCACACATTTTTTTTTGGGTTTAGGGTTTCGAGTTTGGGGCTTTACGGTTTGGGTTCCTCCTTCCTCACCCTCGCGGGCTTCGCAGTGCAGTTTAGGTTCTGCGTCTGTTCACGGTTTTGGTCTTCAGATTTGCTACAGCCTCACTAAACGCCCTGAAGCCCGAAAGCTCTGAAGACCTAAAGCCTAACAGCACTAAAGCCCTGAACCCTAAAACCCTGAATCCTAAACCCCAAAGCCCTAGAACCCTTCAGCCAAAAGAGTCCCGAAACCCCTAACCGTGCTTTCCGACGCCTCCCTCCTCAACCCGAATCCAAAGCCCCAAAACCGAACCTAGGTTTAGGGTCTAGGGTGCTTTTCGGCTTAGGGTTTAGGGTTTAGGGTTGAGGGTTTAGGGTGTTTTTAGGCTTCGGGTTTAGGGCTTAAGGCGTTTTTGGGTTTAGGGTGTAGCCCTAAACCCTAAACCCTAAACCCTAAACCCCTAAACCCCTAAACGTTTTTAGGCTTAGGGTTTGGGAAGCGTTTTCGACTCCGAAACCCCCCTTCCCGAAGCGCCTTGTTTCGAGTCCCCACTCCTCGACCACCCGTCCTCCGGAGCAGCCAGAGGCTTAGGGCCGAGGGTTTAGGGCCTAGGGTTTCGGGTTTAGGGCCTAGGTTTTAGGTTTTCGGGTTTTTTTTGTTTCTTTCCCTCATCCCTGCGGTCTAAAGGAACGTCTGTTTCAGACGAGACGACTATTTAAAAAAAACAGGCCCGCACAAGACTCACAAGCTGAACGTTGCCATCACATACTGCCGGGAGAACATCAGAATCAGGAGTGGATGACATCAAAGCCATCCCCCGAGCACATTTCCGTTGCATCCATCTGAGTAACCCCCATCTGCTCTTGTTCACCTTCTGTTCAGGAGCTGAACCAGGAGGACGGCCATGAGGACCACCAGCTTCAGGACAAAGAATCGGTCCACCAGCAGGAGGTACAGCAGCTCCAGCATGTGGCCCAGTAGTGGGCCCCTGAGGATCCAAGATGACAGTGGAGATGTCAGACTCCGGTATATCATCCACCATGCTCGCAGTGATCTGCATACGCAGGCAACCATCCTTGTCGTCGACTCGTGCGAGGTCCATCTTGCGAGCCCGAAGCCACTTCCGCCGAGGCAACGGCTGCAGATTTTGACTGTCTCGCATGGCAGACTGCATCTCCCAGTCTTCCCGGGCTTGGTACGCAGCCGCCTGTTGCTGTAGGACCCTTTCCTCCTCGCGCCTGCAGAACTCTACCTCCTCCGCCTTTGCTTCCTCCTCCGGCTCAAGCAGGCGAGCTTCTTCATGTTCCAGCGCCACCTGCGTGTCCACTTCACGAGTCACTTCCGGATCCACCCCAGCATCCTGGCTGTCAACTTTGATCACATTCGACACCTTGGTCGGTACCTCCATGCCGGCGATGAAATGTTGTAACCGGCCTCCCCATGACGTAAGCCATGCATCATCTACAGACCCTGGTACTTCTTGTTCATTCTCCGCCATGGCCACCAACAAGGCGTAGAACTGGTCTAACCTGTCAATTTCTGCCCCTGGGTCAACCACATGAAACAGCCTCGCACGTAGGTGAGCCACATGCACCCCACGTTGCTGCTTGGTTTGTCCCGCTAGTTCCCTCTGCAAATGGACAAGAATAGTGTCCAACCATTCTCGCCGCCTGCATCACCCCTCGTCTGCACAAATTTGGTGGCATCACCCTGGCACTCCGATCGCAGCTGCTGACTGGATCTGTCCCCAACCTGCCGATGATGAGGTGGTCGTGATCTCGACAATCCTGCTCGTTCAGCCTGTTCTGCAATGTAGCGTCGTGGGATGTCGTGGGTGAAGTGCATCCAAAGGCTGCTTTTTCATCCTCATAGCCGACATTGGCCAAGGCCACAGGACCAAGTTTTCTCCACCACCATCGCTTGATATAGGCGAGCGTCACGTGGAGCACCTCCCTGGACTTCATCATTGCTCGGCATGCCCATCTGACGTATCACGAGGTCATGGAGGAGGCCGCCCCAATTTCGGGGCCGTACTTAAGCCAGGTTTTTGGGAGGTGGCAGAACTATTCGGGCCGAAAAAGGGCATCTAACACTAACCCCCAAAGCCCCAAGGCGATGAACTGAACTGCACCTAAACCCCCCACAACATATCACCCCAAGGATGTGCAGTCTGGGAATTTCTTATTGCGAAAGCCGTGAACAAATCAACCAAGGTCCTTGGGGATTACAGGAACCCCCGAAGACGCAGAACTCCTGGATGCCGCAGCCCTGAGCCCTCAAACCCCAAACCCGGAAACCTCTGCGAACGCCTGAGCACTACACACTAAACTCTAAACCCCTGAAGCCTATAGAAACTCCATAAAGCTCATGCAACCTCCATCAAAACACTTACAGCTTAACTCTGAAAGTCTTAGGAAACCCTCAGAAGCCCTAGAGAAGCCCTAAACCCTGAACACTGAACAGCCGCCGAAGTGGAAGTGGCCTGGCGAAGCCGGGGAAGGATGCTGGCAGATCCTCATCAAGACTCACCTCGGCCTGCATCGGCTCCGGTTTAGGGTTTAGGGTTTAGGGTTTAGGGTTTAGGGTTTAGGGTTTAGGGTTTAGGGTTTAGGGTTCAGGGTTTAGGGTTCAGGGTTTAGGGTTCAGGGTTGGAGGTTCGAGGCTTCTACTTCGATGGGCAAGGACTTCGTACATGGTTGCTTGATAGAGTTACAAGTAAAATAAGCTTCATAAGTCCAAGTAAGATCCCACTTTGCACTGCAATACCTCGTAAGTCGAGAAGGAAACTGCCTAGGAATTGCGTCCCCAGACCCTCTCTGGCGGCTGTATATAAGGCCCTAAACCCTCAACCCTAAACCCTAAAACCCGAAACGCTTTTAGGGACTATAGGGCGAGTAGGGTTTCATCTAGAAGCCCTGCTTCAAGAGAGGTTCTGGCATCTACGTTTGTGTAGTCTTATGCGGACTGTAAGGGGTTTAGGGTTTAGGGTTTGGGAGGTCGTTAATATGGCCCTTCATCAAAATGATCTCACCGTTGCTGCCCTTAGAAAACCCTGATCAGACGTATCTATTATGGTCCCCCTATCAGGGTATTTTCATCTTGAGACCCTCAAAGAGAGGATATGTACTGGAGCAGCAGAGACTTTTTAGATGGTCAGGCTTCGGGGTTGTGATAGTCAGGCTTCGGCGACCCTAAACCCTAAACCC